TATGTGAATCAGTAGTCGAAGAAATCGAGGAAAGTTCGTACCCTTTCATGCGGTTCTTTATTAGTGTCTCTCTCAATGGCGATCAACTTACCTCGCAACAGCGCATAATCTTGCATTATATTCGAACCACCGGGCCATCGAATTGGATTGGCTGTATTCATCCATTGAGTTGTACTATTACGACTAAGGTCACTTGTATTGCCGCTCAGTTTTAATACTTCCACAGCATGTAATTCATTTGTATTCGTTTCTGAAGGTTGTAAATTGTCAATAATAAAATGTGAGCCACTTCTAGTGACCCGATCAGTTGCATTCTCATCGAACTGTACACGTCCTGAACCGCCAAGAAAATCGATTTTTCGTAGGACTTTATGCAGTTCCTTTTGGTCGGTTAGGCGGCTGGAAAAGCAATAGGAAGTGTTCACTAATGCAAGACAACCACTGGCTTTCGATCGGCAAACTTCTTGGAAGGCTAAGATCAATAACCATGCGGAGTCAAATGCGTATAATGCAAAACTATCGATTTTTGTTTCATCATTAGGGTATGACTGAGGATCATAGTTTTTCCAGATTTCAACTGCATCTTTCAACAATGTTGTATTAGTCGATACATTAAATATTTGTGGAGTCACCGGCCGTATCAATAACATTCCCGTTAATTGTTTATCGTTGAATTTCATATTTGAATCAAGATCTGTGAAAATCCAAAGAAATGATGGCGCCAGAATATTTCCTGCTTTCAATGCTAAGTTTATAATTTTTGTTGCTGCATTTGCATCTGTCCAAATAATAACAATTCGTGAGGGACTTTCTTCTAACTTACGTCGAAAATCGTCTATACTATTTGTATACAAATCATATCTTATTATGCGTAATATTTTGATCTTCTTAGCAAAGACAGTAGCTAGTGTCTGAAGTCCACCTTGACCATAATTATCGCCTTGATATATAATATTTGTCGAGTTCCAATCATATTTCTGAAACAATTTAAATAATGCCTGTGCATTTATAATATCAGATGGTATCATTCTATAGAATGTTTGATATGCATTATGATCTGATAGTGCTGGATCTGTAGCTGAGTAACCGATGACAGGAATACCTATACGATTAGAGAATCTTACAATTGTCTTTGCTTCACTCGAAAATGTTGGTCCAACGATGCCTAGAACTTGATTTTCAGATATAGCCAAACAAGCATAATCAAGTGTTTCAATTACATCGTGTCCACTTGAAGTTTTCAGACGATAGGCAAATTGTTTTCCACCGACTGTCATGTTATACTTTTGAGATAAGAGTATAGCTGACATGAACATTGCATATTCTTGTGGTGTTTGATAGGACATGAATATTGGATTATGTCGTCTAATAAATAATCCTAGAATATAATTATTTGAGCTAGCAGTGAATGAAGGCCGTATTCTGTTAAAATCGTAATGTTTCGACTTCACTTGCTGTTCGAACGACTGATCGGCTAACTTCACAGCTTTCGCCACAGAATGATTGGAAAATATCGCTAGGATGAAATTAACTATCGTTATCACGTATATCATATTCATCATTTTGACGTTAATTTATGATCATCTTTTACAAGCTTAAGAGTGTGCTTTTATACATTTTGAAAACGAAAAAAAGGTTTTTTCCAACTATTATTTGCCTTTATGGATTAGTCATATTAATCTGAGCAACAAAAACAATAAAGCCATGTCAACAGTGACATTGCGTCATAGAAATACAAAAAGAATTTTTCCAAGTTAGTAAAATAAACCCCCGCCTTAGAAGACCCCCTTAACCCTTTGGTGACGGCATTATTTTTCAATTGAAAAGTGGTTCTTTCGTCAATTTATTGTATGTGACTCAAAATGATTACATAAAAGCCTTATGACAATACATCAAAATAAGAAAGAAAGTGATCATGGAGTCAGTGTATAGAGCAGAAAGAAAATAGAAGATCTGCGAGGCATCTATATGACAGGAAGAAAGCGTAGAAAGATATGCATGCGATGGTAGCTGGAATGACCTAGTACCTTACAGATGATAATAGTTTTATGAGAAACAAACATTTTCCTTACTGGAAAATAGGGGGTACAACCCTTGTACCACCGGTCCCAAAGGGTTAATTAGTTAATAAACTCGAAATATTGAAACTTTAATTAGTATATTTCAATTAAGATATGCCTAGTTGTCAGGGTTTTGCACTGAAACTCTTAAAAAATTGAAGTCAGCATTGTTTCTAAGCTTTTAAAAACGTAAACACTCCTTTCCAAACCCCAAAATCGAAAAGCTTTTGTGAAAATCCTTTTTAACTAAAAATTATGACAACGAGTGGAACACAATAGAAGACTTTCTAAAAACTTTTTACGCTTGGACGTAATAGAAGATCTGGGGGATCTGCTATTGCGGGGAGGTAGTTTACTTCATTCTGTGAATCGTTACTAGTAACATTTCGAAGCATTTGCATGTAGTTTCGAAAAAAATAGTGAGTATAAGTTTGAATCGAGGATTTTGCAACTCTTCCCTAGGTCTCTTTTCGGCCTTATCAATCGAAGATAACAAGTACTAGACTTCTTTCCCATAGTTCCTCAGTAACGGAAAAAGACGCTGAACGATATTAACAATAAGGCTACGACTGTTTAAAACATTCTCAAGCCTTCCTCGAAATTTAAATGGCTGCAATACATTTTCCAATGTTCAAAATAGCACAGTTTCTAATTGTTATGAAGATAATCGATCATATGATAGATATCAAAGATGATGGTTAGTGATGTTTTGATCTGACACAGTCAATATCGAGTGGTACAGGTAACATCGGATGCTTTTATTTTGATCATATCACCGATTCTTTTGAAAACATAAGATCAGATTTTTCTTCCAGTAGAGAAGCTCTCTATAAAACTGTCAATTTTATATAACGCGAAAAACTTCTATCATTTTATAAAACTCTATACATTCTTTTTCTCCGATCTTCAACACTTTTCCTTAAAACATCATAACAAATTTTTTTACGGCATGCTTTAGTTTATTAATTCACATCAATTTAGATTATATTATATTCCAATTTATTGACTGATTCAATTCGTCCCGAATACGATAATTCATTTGGGTTCAAGTCCGAACTATAATAAGTCGACATTGATTAATAAACTAAAGCATGACGTAAAAAAATTTGTTATGATGTTGTAAGGAAAAGTGTTGAAGATCGGAGTAAAAGAATGTATAGAGTTTTATAAAATGATAGAAGCTTTTTCCGTTAAATAAAATTGACAGTTTTATAGAGAGCTTCTCTGCTGGAAGAAAAATCTGATCTTATGTTTTTAAAAGAACAGGTGATATGATCAAACTAAAAGTGTCAGGTTTTACCTGCGCCACCCGATACATGACTGACACAAAAATCATGAAGTGATCACGTTCTAACTTTCTGAAATAAGCAATAACAGTTCATTCATTTTTGTTAAGGAAGATCATAATTAATTGTAATGCTTCGTAAATCTCTTCGTAGTTATTGTAGAATATTCTTTTTTTTCTTCTGCGACATTTCGATAGGTTAATACTTCCTTTTTTAGACTTTATTGGTGGAAAATGAAGTGTACTAGAACATATACACGCTTTATTTTCTCTTTTTTTCTTTTCTGTTGTCATTGGGATTTTGATACTAAGTTGGTAAGACATCGATTGCTGACACAAGCGACGTATTATTGTCATCTTCTTCGGGCCCACTATCAAAACCTAATAAAAACAGAGAAGAAAAAAAAGAGAAAAAAGAGAAAATAAAGTGTGTGTATGTTCTAGTACACGTACGTTTCATTTTCTACCAATAAAGTCTAAAAAAGAAAGTATTAACCTACCGAAATGTCGCAGAAGAAAAAAAAGAATATTCTACAATAACTAGCAAGAGATTTACTAAGCATCACAATGAATAATAGTCAGAAGTGGCCTAATCGGAGGCGTGTCAGGGGTGCTCAAGCTGACAGACATATCAATTTTTATACGAATTTTCGGTACAAAAGGAACAAAGTTTCCGATATTTGAGCTATACAATCTTAATATCAATTTTCACACAGAATCTCAATTTTTTATGTACCTTTTCAGCTAAATTCCGGTTTTTTGACATATTTTTTCGTTTTTAATTTTTTCTATACTATTTTGCAGAAAATTTGACTGAAAATATTGAAATTTAGCTGAAAAAATGCATAAAAAATTGAGACTTCGTGCGAACATCGGTACTAACTTTAGATAGCCCAAAAATTTAAGAGTTTGTTCCTTTTGTGTAGAAAATTTGTGGGTGTGGGTGTGCGAGTGGGATACTCTTCAATCTTAAAAAAATTCTATTTTTTGCTCAGCAAAATCAGAAAATTTTCTTTCATTTGTCATCAAGATAGGGGTGTCATTTCTCATTTAAATTTAAAATAAATTTAACTTATGTAGTACTGAAAACAACTACTTAGAGCAATCCAAAAGTAGTGTCGTCATGATCTTATTTCTCTATAGAAAGCTTAAAGAAATTTTCTTTCTTGATGTAGTGATAGAGAAAACCATGCTCTATTTTTCTGTGCTATTTGATCAGTATTCAACTAATCTAATAATACTAAAATTTCAATAAGAACTGTTTTGGTGTGAAACTTCACTAACGGGTGAGATAGATTAATATGCTTTGCATTTAAATTTTCAATCACTTAGTACGTTGTATTAAAAAACAAAATATACCAGAAGATGCAGCATGAAAAGCTCTACAATTTACAAAAGAAGTTTCTTTTATATATGAAATAAGAAAAATATTACTTTTTCAGGTCAGCGAAAATCGGTCGCACAGAATTTTGGTTTTTTTGAAAACAAAAAGTACATAATTAAAGTAAGCTTAACTTTGTAGACTATAGAGCTTTGCGCGCTGCATCTTGTGATGTATTTTGTTTTTCTTAAATAAAAGATATTAGGCGACAAAAAGATGCAATAAGAAAAAATGAATTTATCTTGTATCAAAAACTATCGGTTCCACATGGTCAAAAATTGGTTCCTCAAAATTTTGTTCATTTTGAAAACAAAAAGTGCAATTATAAAATAAGCGGTCTTTTGTAAACTGCAGAGCTTCTCGCGCTGCATCTTCTAGTATATTTTGTTTTTTAATACAATGCATTAAGTGATTGAAACATTTAACCTACCTAACCCGTTAGTGAAGTTTCACACCAAACCAGTTCTTATTGAAATTTTATTATTCTAATATTAGTTAAATACTGATCAAATAGCACAGAAAAATAGAGCATCGTTTTCTCTATCACTACATCAAGAAAGAAAATTTCTTCAAGCTTTCTATAGAGAAATAAGATCATGACGACACTACTTTTGGATTGCCCTAAGTATGATTCTCAAATTCACTAGAAGGCTGACAGACAGATCACTGTTTTGATCAGTTCTCATCTATTATCTTTATAGGAAAGTAATGTGTCCGCTTTCTATCTCTAGTTTTCCCATACAATAGGATTTATTCACTGAACCAAACCTAATACAAAATAACTTTATTTTAATATTATTTATTATTGAAAGAATTTATTGTATTGAAAAATTAGTTATTTTTCTGTCGGAGATACGTAAATAAGTTCATAGGGTGAATTTGCAAAGCGTTTGTACGCGTGGTTGATAACTTTCCATCCTTCTACATCCACAATTAGTACATGTACACCATGACCAAACATAGAAAAATTATCGTCGTATGAAAATACAATTTGATTCTTATCTATATCCAATACTCTTCGAGTCATTACTGCAACTGACGTTGGTTGTTCAATGTTCAATTGTTTATTAACACGATAAGTTTTATCTAATTGTTTTATGGTTAAATTACTTATTGTAAAATCGAATGGAGCTTTTCGTCAATTATAAATAGTGTAAAACTGTTTGTTGATCACAAATAAATTATTCAAATATGGATAAGAATCAAGTTTACAAATCGTTTTAGTAATTAATGTTGGCATTTTAATTCCATTTAACTCTGTTTCTGTACGTTAATATAAAGTATCTTCCAAGGTATCAAATGTACTACCCACTTGTAGTTTTCCATGTGATGTGAGATCGATTAATTGCCGTAATATTAATGTATTTTGATCGACTTCTCATAATAAACTCAATAGATTGTTGCGCGTCATACCAATAGCGAACAAATGTTGATTGTCGGAATCAAAATGCAATCCTGCAAAGTAATATTGTAAAATTGTCCTTGTTGTGTTTCATTTGTTTGTATATTATGACGCATTAAACAAGATAAATCTGGCCCTAGAGGATACGT